CCTATTTATCTACTTGCAGTTTCTTGCTTTCGAACTGCTAGGTTGGCAGGAGCTGCGGCCAGAGAGGGGAGCTCACTCGTCACCGCGGCACTCGGGTTTCGAAACTGCCGAACTACAAACCTTCCGGTCTGCAGCTCAGCGTCTTAACCTCCGAGCCACCACATATTAGAAGTACACAAAAGTACCGCCAATTTAATCCATGAAATGCTGCCGTTCCACCCCACTGCGTGAGACCGGCTAGCATAGGAACTCAACTCTGAGTTTGGAGAACGAATACGCCTGGGCGGCATCCTACCCAGAACTACGTTCAGAGTGCCAAACCACGTTTAAGCGGTTATGAAGACCTCCAAAGCAGGGTGTGGACAGGGGCCAGAACACTGCCTTACAACAAAAACAAAGAGCCCTGACCCTGACAAGAGCTGTCCTTGAAAAAGAGCCGTCTCTGTCAAGAGCTCTCTCAGCCCCACCTTCCTCCCAGGGTGACTGTTGTGGGGAGGGGGAGGGAAAGGAGATTGTAAGCCCCTCTGAGACTATTGGGGTAGTGAAGGGGGGCGGGGTATAAATCCAATCTCTTCCTCTCTTCTTCTCTTCTATGTTGGCGTTTTATGTGAACAGCCAAAAATAAAGCTGATAGAGGGGAAGATGTCCTAATTCTGGTTCTTGTCAGTGTACTTTGGCGATTGCATAGTTTTGCTCTTTGCGTGCGAGAGAGTGTTTTGTGTGCGTGTGCGCACGCTTGTGAGCCCGGAAGTTGACTTCTGGCGACCCCTAGTGGGGCTAGGACGTTTCAGAGCGGTGGCTCGATATTACCCTGTCTCTGCGTCCTGGCCCTGGTATTCCTTGGAGGTCACCCTGTCCAAGTACTTACCAGGGTCGGCCCTGCTTAGCTTCCGGGATCTGACGAGATCGGGCTAACCCGGGCTATCCAGGCCAGGGGGCCAGCTACGACATCGTTTCTGATGCTCCACAATCTCCTGGGATTTGCGGGGGCTTTAAAAGGAGCAGTTCGAAAGCAAGAAATTGCAAGTAGATAAATAGGTACCGCTTCGGTGGGAAGGTAACAGCCTTCCGTGCGCCTGGGTGTTTAGTCATGCCGGCCACATGACCACAGAAACGTCTTCGGACAGCGTTGGCTCTTCGGCTTTGAAACGGAGATGAGCACCGCAACCCTAGAGTCAGACTCGACTGGCTTTCGAGTAAGGGAACCTTTCCCTTTACCTTTTAAAAGAAAAATCAGAACGAAATCACGATGGTTGTGCACAAGTACTGTTTCTGGCTCACCTGGAGTTCAAACTCCTTTTCTTTCTTGACGTCATTGATCTGTTTTTGGAGAGCCTTGATTTTCTTTCTCCCCAGCTCTTCTCTAGAAAGAAAGGAAAAAAGCAAACAACCGCCGTCTCTTGCAACGGAAGAAGACTCAACTGAGGTTTCAGGACTTGCTCAGGAAGAGGGAAAATCTTGCCAGAGTTAGAAAGAAAATCCGGCAAACTAGTGGCTATTTTGTCCACAGTAAATATTGCACCGGGGTGGGGATGGGGGGGGGAGAATTGGGATTTCCTGTCGAACGTGACAGATTCATTCAGGAGTTTGTGGCGGGAGTCTCAAAGGGTGGAAATTAACCCTGCAAGTCAACTGCAGCAAAAACCTGGAAAACGGAAGGTGCGCCCTGCAACAGGTAAGGGTGGTGAAACTGGAGTTCTGGGAACCAGATAGCTGCGTTTCAAGTCCAGTGTTCCCTCTAAGCCAAGTTAGTGTGAGCTAGCTCACAGTTTTTTAGCCTCTGGCTCAGACATCGTTGTCACACAGGAAGGAGGGCTCCAGAGCAAACTAATTTATGCAGTAGCCAAAATCGCTGGCTCACGAAGTAGAATTTTTGCTCACAAGACTCCACAGCTTAGAGGGAACATGGGTTTTGACTGCTGTTAAAGTGAGCAAAAGGTAGTTCTGATCCACCGTGGGCACAATCTGCCAGAAAGTCTGCATTTAAGCTCTGAGCTGGGCGGATGTTCCAGAAGAATTTTTCAGGGTGGGTGTTTATCCACCTTCCCTCGCCCAATAAATTGAGAAATTAGCAATGGGTATATAATGGGCTCTTCCGCATTCTGTTTTTCCTTTCTTGTAAGTTCCAGTGTCTTCGAGTGTGTTTTGTCGCCCTCTAGTGGTCGATTTTATATTATATGGGTTTACGTCCGGCATCTCTCCCTGCGGATTTAAGCTGCAGGTTTTTATGGTGGACATAACCTGATGTAATATCGAATCGACCACTAGAGGGAGAAAAACATGTGCAGAACAGGGGGGGGAACTCAGAAGAAACAGGAACTCGCATGTGAGGGAAATGAGAATGCGGAAGAGCCCAATGAATGGGTGGATGTATGCAGGGCTATTTTTGGTCAGGAACGCACAGGAACAGAGTTCCGGCTGGCTCCCGAGTTGGCCACGCCCAGCAGGAACTCATTAGCATAATAGGCCACACCCAACAGCAGAAACTCATTAGGATTGGCTACATTAGGGGTGTGTGGCCTAACATGCAAAGGAGTTCCTGCTACAAAAAAAGCCCTGGGTTTTGACAACAAACAAGGTAAACAGAATAAGAAGCAAAAGGTGGGTGTGGCTGGATGTGTGGCCTAATGTGCTAATGAGCTGTGCTGTCAGGGGTGTGGCCCAATATGCTAATAGGTTCCTGCTGTTGGGTGTGGCCTATTATGCTAATGAGTTCCTGCTGTGCTTTTTCTACAAAAAGAGCCCTGGATGTGTGTGTGTGTGAGGGCTGGGTCTCCTCCTCCAGAGCAAGGCGCCTTCTGCTGATCCACGAGGCTCTTCCAGAGTAGCATCTTAGTCCTTTTCACTGGAGGCTCTGGAGACTTGAACCCAGAACTTTCTGCCTGTACTTTCCCATGGCCCCTCCCCAAAATGAAGCTGTCTTATATCAAGTGAGACCCTTGATCCACCAAGGACACTATCTTCTACTATGACCAGCGGCAGCATTCCAGGGCCTCCGGTCTTTCACGACACCTCCCGCCAGGGACTTTTCTAACTGGACTGGCCAGGGACTGAACTTGGGACCTTCTGTGTGCTGAGCTGATACTCTACCACCGCACCACGGTCCTGCCCCAAGTCAGGGAATCCAAAAAACTGGGAAGCCGAACGTCACAAAGATGCCAAGAAAGCAAAATCCGCTAGGAAAACACCATCAAAATTTGCCCAAAATATATAAACTCTATTTCAATTGTGAACCAGAATTTATATATTCTTGGCAATTTTTGCCAAAGAACCTCCTCAGGAAACAGGAAACATCACAGGGATAGATTTAGCGATCATACCGGAAATCTTCTTATTAAATATTACGCCTGAAGGACTCAAATATAACGAAAAATGTATTATTGTATATGTAATCACAATGTCAAGAATATGTATCGCAAAGAATTGGAAGTCTGACAGTATTCCAAGTAAGGAAAATTTGATTAGCACTCTTTTTGAAATAATTGAAATGGATAAGCTGAATATGTTTTTGGCGGGTAAATCAGAGGAACAATTTAAACAGAAATGGCAAAATGCCATAAAATGGTAC